ATTAATAATATTGAGTATGCATTACGTAATTTAGGAGAAATTAAGGTTTGGCAATAAAACAATATCAATAATTGTAATTATCACTACATAATTTTCATCAATAGCATCCAACCAGGTCAATCAAAGTCAAACTGGCTTATGTAGATGTAAAATGTGAACCAAGCTGCTGAATAAAAGTTTGAGCCTTTTATTGGTGAACATAATGGACACTTCATGGATTGTCGCAGTTTTCCCAAAATATAACACTTTAGCTACTGTCACCGTTTCGCGGTTGCTGGCGGAGACTGGACCGATTCCAAATGTTTTTTAGGTATCATTCATGCACACACCCACACTTTATACAAAGGGACCAAGTTGAAAAATACCTGAATTCCCCTTTAACTTTGAAGTTTTCCAGTTATTCCTGAAAACTGTCTCACTACTGTTGACCAGTAGTTTTCATTTTTGATGATGAAACATTTTTGATTACGAAACATCATTGAGTTACCACTTAGAGAAATACTAAATATAAAAAGGTTGATGAAACATCTGTCTTGTAAAATTGTTCAAACTTATACATTTAAGCACATGAAGTGCAACTTTTCTAATGATATAAGTCTAAATAGACTCCATGGTAAAGACTGTCCTATGTGGGTGAAATGTTGACTTAAACTAATTTTACTAATCCAATGGATGATCTCCGAGTAGGTGAAGCTTGTAAAAAACTAAAACTGAGTTACAGCCATACAACACATGTGCATTCAGGTTGGACCTCTTGTTGTGAATGACCACCAATACCAGGAATCAATTAAAGATTCATTTTGCTCTTTTGGGGAGGGGGGATCTCTAGGTGACCTTTCTGAAAATGTTCCACCATTTTGGCAGGATCCGTGTAAGTGCAGACCATTTCATGTAGACAGTAAGTGTATGAAATGAGTGCTCCTGTCGTTCCAGCCGGGCTCTCTTTGACAGCATGATGATAGAAGCGTCACATCCTTGGAAGAGTAAATGCAAACTGACAAGAGATGAGCCTTTGGTTGCTGAATATAATACGGAATTGTGCTCTGAGTGTCTTATTATCTTGTCTGTTGATGTCTGAAAGGGGGAGATTTGCTTGAGAAGAGAAGACAGAAACTGTACGCTTCCAACACCATCTCGTCCGTTGGAGAAAAAAATTGCTTGCCCTACTAACCACAGCTTTCCCACCTAATGTCCACTTCTACTTGGAATAAATACAAGGCGGCAGGATGTTTGTGGTGCCTTGTAGCCCCTGTTAGGTGAAGTGGAAGACTATTTGCACAGGCAAGCTTTTAGGAGGAGAACGACCCTTTCACCACTGCAGTAAGCATGTGATGGGTGTAGAAGGTGGACAGTTTACTGTAGACAAACATGACCGCTACTGTCATTGTCTCCCGACTTCTTCTCGTACTTGCACAAACTTGTAGATGGTAGTCAAGAACCAAAACTAAAATTATACTTCAGTTGTGTACACAGATAAAAGGTTGTTGTCGGTTCATTGAATATGAAAACACAGACAGTATATGACACATCTAATCGTACCATTTATTGTTAGACGTAGATGTCAACTGCCAGAAAATTCACTACGGTAGATTTATCACACCTGTTGTCAAAGAATCCCCACCGAATAAGGCACTGCACAACTCTATAACGTCTATAACTCTTCAGCTGTAGGTTGTCGTCAGTAGAAGACTTTCCAGCAGCTATGCATGCGTGTTAGGTGTCAATTCCGACCACATTATTACCAATACTTGCATTCGACAGGAGCAAATTAAGTCTGAGCATGATTTGCATTGCCTTGTGACTGTTGCTTTATGCTTTTTTTGACAAGCATGTCTGTCAATCATGACATTGGAGCATTCTGTCAGAGAGATTTTGCGACCTGAAGGCTGCAAAATCTCTGACAGAATTGCTCTTCACTGCACTGCATGTAAAGAGGAAAAATCTTAATATTGTGGCCTCTGCTCTGTGCAGAACCACATAAAGAAAGCCACTGAATAATCTAAGGCCTAGTTTAAAGGCTCAGTTCAGGGTCATTCACGTTCATAAAATCATGGTGAAATCATCGCGAAACTCATGATCTTTCTTGCAAAAACGAGAGTTTAATGAAAAACACAAATATAAGCAAATGTGACTGAAATAATTAAAAACATTAAATCATTGTTTGCATGTTTGTTTTGGAAACCATTCAGCTATTAAAACGGTTAAATAACCTCATATGCATTACTTCTTAATGTTTTCAATATGTCAGCTTTTCAAGAAACCTTAAAGCCACATCTTTCACGCTCACTTGGTATTGAAAGAGCTTCATACACCTGACTCAAAGAGGGTGATATAATCCATCAACACCACTAAGAAGTGTAAAAATCTCCTAAACTTTAATTCAAACTTCAACTTAATACATAACAAAATAGACCTGTCACAATCGCCCTGAACAAGGTGTCACCATCACCACAACTTTTTCACTATTCTATCAGAATTTCAGGTGAAAGTACCAAAAGATGCTAAGAGCCTCTTCTTCAAACAACCTTCTCCCACTCACTCTTCCTCCCCATCTCTCCCAGCACAAGACACGACGGTGCCATGTCTCCTCACGGGTCCCTGACTCTCTCTCTTCTGACAGGTCATTTGGCAACGCTTCCCCAAACCAAACCTACCGCTGTGGGCTGTGCCACCGGGCAAAGAGAAACCATCCCCTAAAAAATTCACAACTTTCACTGGAGCAGCTCTGTCCAGTCACATGCAGTATGACAAGAGCCATCAGCAGGTGAAAAATGGGCAAAAAACCCAGACTTTGTCTTGTGATTACACAAATATGTTTTAGAAATTATGAATGACTTTCATATTTATCATCATCAAAAGGTTTGAAATTTCTTAAAATATAAATACATACATATATAAGTGAACGTGCACAAGGGAAAAAGAAGCAAGATGCAATCAATAGAGAAGCAGGAGTCAGAGACTGATCAGAGAGGAAGAAAGAGGGAGAGACTTGATGCTTATTAAACCAAATTGCAATGCTTCTGAGACAAATCCTGCAGTAGCCAGTCCTTGTTTAGAAGCCTCTAGCTTCACGTTATTCTTTAAACAAGGATTTAAAAGACAGCTGAACTCTCACTGATTAGGTTTGAGAGTAATGTTTGGCTGTCCCTCCTCCAAATTCTTATTTTATTTTGTTCACAAATGCTTGGCAAGCTGAGTCCATTGGCACTTTTTTCTTTCAGTTGGCGCTATTAAACTATACTCCCTGCCACTTCCCAGGAAATACACACACACACACACACATACACACACACACACACACACACACACTGAAGGTTCAGATAGAAATTCATACATACTGATATTCCATCAGAATCTTTTATTAAAATAATTTAAAAAAGATAAATATGGACTGTTAGCAGTACAAATTCATAGCCAGCAATAAATCAATTACATGCCAAAATCTCTCATACACAAATGCACTGAAGCATGCACGTTCACACACACACATACACGCACAGTTTAAATTTAAAAAATGGAAAAACAGGCAGTCACAAGAGGAAACAGTAGTTTGTAAAATTATTCAAAAAAACTACTTCTTAAGCCATGGAAGAAGGATTTCTTTCGCTTCGCATTTTGCATCCATATAAAAATAACATAATAAATACAATTGAGAAGTGGAAATTGTGAAAATATGTAAAGTGCATCATTTGTTTCTGCAGTCCTGGACTGTTCTCTAACAAACCTTCAACTTAAATTAACCAAACAAAAATAATTTGCTAAGGGAATGAAAGATGGGGGCATGTAATTTCCTTGAAATTAAATATAAACATCACATTTAAAATCTTCCTGCTTTCTTAAATAACTGATCCCTAAAATCTGCTGTTACTGGACATTACAATTTAATAATATATATTAGCACATATATTTAGTTTGTAATTATTTCTTAATTTAATTATTTAAGTGTCTCTAATGAAATCAAGCTGGGACTACAGGAGATTTAGGGCTACATTAGCTTTCTCATTATAGTGAATAATTTGAAAATGTGCTAAATGGTAATTTATATCATTATGCTTATTGATTCATAAGGAGGCAGTGATTCAATTAGTCCATGACTGAAGCAGCTCATGATAAGAAAAAGTAAACACAGTCCTCTATAGACACAACCAAAATAGAGTGTGAACATTCAGTTAATGAGATAAAGTGCAAAAATAATGAGGCATGCTGATGTAGAAATTGGCTATTTTTTAAGATTATTTTGCAAGTGAAGAAACCAAAAGATTCAAAATAATTGAATGAAGTGAATATATAACACAGAAAACTCAACATTAATCTAGAAACAATAACATTATATGTGATGTACCAATGATAAATATATTTGCTGTCAAGTTGAGGTTTTAATTTCACAGAGAATAAAGTTGTTATTTATCTCAATAGTTTACTTTAAATTCTATTAATGTTTAAATAGCAGATATAGCAATTGATTCTATTTTAAAAAGTGCATATTTCCAAAAATCACCAGGGCAATGAAAGTGGGTTTGAGGTAAAATATCCTGACACGTAATATCTTATTTTTACAGGTCAGTTAAACTTTTAAAAAAATGTTATCTTAAGGAAAGTCATAGTAAGGCAACACCAACTTGATCCATTAATACTTATTAGTAGTGTTTTTTATATCAGTGATAAATATGTACAGAATTTCCATAAAGAACATTTCTGCAGTTCGGTTACCTCTTGTAAAGTCATTACACTAATCTGACAGAGACAGTCCTCTGCAGACAAAATATGATGCACAAAACATCTTAACATACAAAAATGACTTATAATACAATTTCACTAACTACAAGAGCCTGACACTAACTTGCTCACTGAACTTAAACTTAGTTTGTTGTCTGACGCTGCTAACACCTGTCCCAGGACTGGAAGCCTTCAGGTTTCATCTTGCTTCTGCCTGAGCCAGATCTCATCAAGTAGCTTTTGCAAAAGAGCAAGGGATGGACGGAAGGTGGAAGCCGACTTACCGTAAAGCTTGGTGGGAGTGCCCTCTCTGTCCGTGGCCTCGGAGGGCAGGAGCAGGGGCTCGTCGTTCAGCTCGCTGTCTGGGGTGGCCGCTTTGTCATCCGCCCGGAGTTCTGCCGCGCTCATGTTGCTGCGCAGGGAGAGCAGCGGCTTGCTCAGCTGCCCTGTAATCATCGGATCCTGGAGGGAGCTGGGAGCCCAGGTGGGAAACAAGGAGGAGAAAAAAAAGCACCGCTGGTTAGATCTGCTTCAGCGTCTCACCCTCACCGGCTCCTTCTCTGTGTCTCCACTCACTCTCTCTCTCTCTCCCTCTCTACACCCAGCTTCTCCTCTCTATCGCTCACTCATCACTCTCCCTCTCTCTCCTGCTCCCTCCCTCTCCAGTTCTCTCTTTTATCTGAGGCTGGTGCTACCCCGCTGATACTGCCGGCTGCTGCCTGGTGAAGAACTGTTACAGATCGCGTGGCTTCACCATTATACCCTGTAGTCCTAAAACGGTGATACATTCATCTCCAAGGGCTCATTACTACCTGACATGTGCCTCATCTCCAGCAAACACTAAGCTGACAGTGGTCTACAAAGAGGTCCTTGGCTGCGTGTCGATTAAATAAACCAAATCAATCTAATTCTACATCTAAAAAGGTAGATATAAGCAAAAAATATACACCAGCAATTATACCAATTTTCACATAGCTGGGGACACAAACTGTGATTAACGGTGACATCTTGCATCAGCGAGTGATGCAACGTGAACTTAAGGCCTGATTTAAACAAGAGATGAAGTCATTGATGTTCCCAAATTTTTCTCCCAATTACTTTCATTTTTTCCGCACTTAGAAACAAGAATAAAACAGCAACTACACAACATGATTAGAGAATCATCTGTCTGAGCATCTTGGAAAAAAGTAAATTCAGAAAAGTACATTTGTATATTTTAAATATAAAAAACATTGTTTTCTCAATGACATTATAGGTTTAAATGCTTTTGTTGAATTATTGTTTATCTCTAAGAAGAGCCACAACTTGAACACAATGAATAAAATACAGTATACAGGCTTTGTTTTTTTTTACTTTTTCCAACACTAAACAGAAAGTTTCTCAAAAGCCGCATGGAAATCTGCTCTTACCTAAAGAAAGCTCCTGAAGAAAAGAGAAGAAAAAATAGTTTTCAGAAAGTCCAAATGTTGAAGTCAGTCAAACAGCAGCTAAAACATACCACCACAGTGCAGAGACCTGCTAGTACATCGTGCTTTATACTGAACCAGAAGCAGCCTCCTCAACCTGCATGTATCTGAATGGCCACCACAGGTTCAAGCCTGAGGTTGCTTCCTAGGACAAGTACAGGAAATGTCACCTCCTCCCTCCCGCTCTCTCTCCGTCTCACACACATTCAATCTCTCTTTCCCTCCCTCTGTCTCTTCCCCCTTGTGTCTTGTGACTGGAGAGCTCCTCAGACAGTGTTCACCCCACCTCAGGCTCCGAGACACAGACACACAGCAGCAGGGACCACGGCCCTCTTCCTTATTTATGAATCAAGTCCAACCTAAATATGTCTCAGCAAAGGACGGGTGACCAGCACATATGGGCACAAAGAGGAAAAAGGAGGGTGTCTTACCCCTGCACCCATCAATACCCCACATATACACAGCCCCACACACGATTCTATCAGGGTGGTCGATGAGTTCCTGCCCAGAGGGGCCTTTTTAATGTGCTCATCACAGGAATCAGCCTTCTTTGATATGACACATGATAATCTATGAAAATGTTAATCAATAGAAATAGTTTAAGCTGTCGTTATAAACGGGAGCTGGCTGGTCAATACTCATATCTCCGGTAACAATGTCACTAGTCATCAGGGCTTCATTTGTGGAGCACTTAAATGTGGGACACTGCGCATCAATGCACCTCTCTGCCCGCCGAGGTAAACACATTTTCCCCTCTGTCTGAGCCTGGCCACACTCTGCATGCATTTGGGTCCACCCCCACCGCCTGCCTCCTCTCCTTTGAGTTGCTTGATAGGTCCACTGGAGGGCAAAATTAATACCTAATTGAATCTTGCAGTCATCAAAATAATCAATAGTTTTTTATTATTTATTCTTCACAGTCTGTTGACTGTTTGAAAGCTCAGAGGGACAGCGTAGAGCACAGGCAACCCTGAAATTTCTGCCGTTTCACAATGTAATTTTCACTGGGGCATGAGAGTTTGCAAGACCTATAAAAAATGAGAGCTGTGGTTTTTGTTAGTGGGTGGAGGGAAAAAATAAAGGAAAAATGGGAATCTTTGCCCCGGCAGCTACGATGAAAAATAGAATAAACAAGCTCCTGACACTTCAGAGGAGGGCACTGTCCTTTCTGTCCATCCCTCCATCTTTTTCCCTTTCCCCTTTTCTCCTTATTTCATCATATCAGGAGGGTGGCGGTACCTCTCTAATGCTGGCATTTCTCTTCCTGACAGACTCCAAACAAGTGCTGGGAATGAGATCAGAGCTCTAATCTTCCCCTGGCCTCTGAGGCTCGAGGATAAGGGGGCAACAGATCTCTCACCATCTCACGCAGCTGTTAATTACTTCATTTCAAAACAGCTGGTTTTGCCTATTTGCAATCACGCCACCAAATTGGGTGTGTTTATTAATTTAAACACATGCAGTAATATAATTACACCTAATGGGATAACTGTAATGTTATTGTAAAAATCTGCAATAAAAAGGGGATATTTTAAGAATTACCATAAGAAATTAGATTACTGGATCCAAGCAGTGGCTGTTAAACGGATTATCTTCATTTTTTAAAGTTGGCCTCGGACCCCTGATTAAAACGCTAATGTGAGTTGGTGAATGTGGATGTGTGTGTGGGGGGCAGACATGAGGGAAGAAGATTTGTCTTGTTCCTTCTCTGTTCACTCAGTCTAGCCACAGCTCTAGAGAACAGGTTGCAGAAACAAGAAAAAGCACTTGATCTCACCCCCCATCCACCCTCCGTTCACCAAACACCACTGGTGGCATGAGGAGAATCAGTGGTTAGCAGAGAGTCCCAAGTGTCATCAGATATCCATGCTAATAGCTAGTGGTCTTACCGAAGCCGTCCCAGTGCGACGGTGAGGGGTTTCAGCCTGTAACCGGCACGCTGCACTCCAAGACTCTTCTACAAAGAAAAATATGATCAGTTCTCATCATAATTGTCGGAATAGTTTTACCTTATTTACAATAATCTCTGATATTTAAAGCAGAATTCAAAATGGATTGCAGATAATTATAAACTATGGTGTAGCTTTGCCCTAAATCCATACAACATACTAAGATGTTTTGATGTCTGTGTTCTTTTTAAGTACACTTGAACTCTAAATGTAAAAATACACTTATTCAAAACATATCTCTCTAAACAGAGGCTGTATGTGAATATCACCTTTAAGCAGGCTTTGGTTGGCCACATCCAGGTAAACAATTCATGAGGGCAACATTGACCGAAATGCATCGGCTATAGGCATTTTAAGTTATCTGCATTCATATGCAGATAGCTGTAGAGATTAGAAAAAAATATCTGTAGCTATCAACACCTACCAAAAGTATGGCAGCTTGTGGATTGTGTGGAGAAACGTTGGATTCGGACTGTAAACAGTGTACTGCGAATGGAAGACAGAGTCTTGGTCCAGATATCCACTGTCTACACTGGTGCTTATTCGTCTTAAGACAATAGCCGATGGGCTACTGATCATTGGTCCTGGATGCTCCCTGCCCTGTGCCCATTGCGTGCTGCGACCTCCAGAGCACACCTGTAACCCTAGACCATTACAGATAGAGATTTATAATCTAGGCAAAAGAGTCCTGACGATTTTATATCCATCAGACAACGTGGTTGCTTCTGCTATTATGACTTCATGAGCTAACAAATATTCCAAGTATTCCAAGTGTGACATAAATCCTATCTTGTCTGCAATCAGCCTACTTTATTTTAAATCCATTATCAGTGATCTAAGTGACCTGCAGCCTAAAACTCAAATAAATTCAGACTGTCATTAGCTCATGTTTTTCTGCTGGTACCTTATGGGTTAGTATTCCTTGTAATGCAATTCTAAGACCTGAGTAATGCAAGAACAGCGATACTGACAAATGGAAAAGTCTGATATCAGATGAAAATGTATTTCCATTGCTGGAGTGAGAAGAAATAAAATATCCCAAGACCATTGTGGATAACGTAGTATAGTAGATGATGATTTGTCTCCCCCTTAGGGTTATTAACCAAACTGTTTCTCCATCACTTCATGAAAGGATTTCTATGTATTACAAAGACTATTTCACTAATGCGACATTGTGTGAAATGTCTACTCCCATTAAATATTTTCTGTGAATCAAATAACACAAACCTACTGCATTTTACAGATGAATTTTAGTGGTAACACAATTCCTCTGTATTCTATCTCTGAGATTAGCAGGCCAGTGATAGAAAGACTTGAAGTGATTTCTTTCTCCACACTCATTAATATGATCAACAGTTATCCCTCTCTCCTCCACTGAAGCTAAAATGCTCCCCAATGGATGGTCGGTGGGTCAGTGAAGGCTGGGTGCTATCAAAGCAGTGTATTAAAAGGAGCTCTTTGAAGCTTGTAAACCACGGTGCCCAGCAGGTCCACAACAGATAGACGCCTCTGATTGGTCAGGTGTGTGTGTGTGTGTTTTTTTGCTAGATCGATCCACAGAGCTGACATTCTGGAGCATCAAAGCTTTCAGTGCACTAACCTGACTCCTCCTATGAGGGCAAGGGTTGTTTTTATTATTTTCCTATGAAATGCTTATAATGCAGAGGGGCTCCTGCATGCTTATGATATGAGAGTGAGCAAACTGTGTGTTTGACGGGTTTGAAAGGGAATGAAAACATATTAAAATCATACTCATACGATGTATTTATCAACAGATAAATAATGCAAAACTATAGAGAGAAATGGGGAGAGCAACAGAGAATCACAGTGCCATTCATTGGGCATACCATTGGCAGAGGAGTGACACCACAGAGATTCACACACCACTGCTCCTCAAAGTCAGTTTCCCCTCACACCGTCTCTGGAGACCTGAGCCACATACACATTCATGAAAGGTGTGAAAATCTGATTTCCCAAAAAGGATCCGTAATTCTCTGTGAGGGTGGAAGCCACAATCAATAAATCATTGCTAAGTAGATTGTAAAGAAAAAAAAATTATTCCCCCTTGGTATCAGTGCATTAGGATTCTCCTGAGGATGGATGAGGCAAGATGGGGGTGTGAGACAATCTCAATAAAGAAGAGGCAAATCATACCTTTGGCATTCATCTGGACTCTGGCAAGCAGCTGTCAGCAGAGTGAGGAGGGACAGGGAAAGTTCACCAATATCAGCGGGATCCTTTGGTTTCCATGTTCAGGAATGTCTGGAAATACAAAAATAAACCAAAATGATTTTACAGTTTTGATCTTTCACCCTGACATACTAACCAATTTTTTTATATTTTTTCATCAGTAAATGCAGAGGTGTTTTGTGTGCTCGGGTATTTGTTAAAATACTGCACTGCATCAGAAAAGTGCATATTCTACTATTTTATATGTCAACCACTTTACATTTTAGAGGGGAACATTTTTCATATGACAGTTATCTGACAGCTTCACACGTAACTTTACAGATTTTGCAGACATAACATGATCAGTTTAAACTAGTATGATGTCAGAAATGAGTCCATCTGCTGCAACATTAAAGTGCTGAATGGTTGTTTATGCATCAGTATATATAGTATTTGTTTATATTTATAATAAAGTTTAAGGTTAAACTGTAACAGATTAAGCCTAAATTACACTTCATTGTCGGTAGTGTTTGACAATAGCATCTTAAAAACAACTGCCATTTTTTCCCTCAATAAATGTTACCAGCAAAAATGCACTGTATTTAAAAGCATTAAGGGTACAACTGCTCATTATGCAGCACATTTACCCTGTGAGTGTTTTATTATATTTTATTAAATTAAATTCAGTATTATTATGGATGCTTATGTGTCAGTAATATAAACCTTCTGCTTCTTGTATGTTTTATATTTAAAATGTGCAAAGTACACAGTAACTGTAGCTGATAAATTCTTATTATTTCCTTTTCTTATAAATGTCATTTTAACATGTTCTTATGAGACTTTACATCTGTTCTCTTACAAGAATTACATTCTAACAGGTTTTTATTTTTATATTATGTACATCCCCGTTTTTATTTCTATCTATATTGTATGTAAAGCCGTTTCAGCTGCATTTCTTGTATGAAAGGTGCTATACAAATAAAGTGAATTATCATTATTATTATTACAGAGATGTTAATAGTTGTTATATTATAAAACCTCAGTAGAGATGTAAAGACGTAGGTCCTGGTTCAGTTAAAAAAACAAGCTAACCATTCATATCAAAGTTTTGACTCGTTAAAATGTCTAAAACACGAACAGTTGAAGACAAAATAAACTCTAGAAAAGTTAAAACCGAACAAAAACCTCTTGAAACGGTGGAAGAGTTAAAGCTGAATTAAAACATGAAGGTAGAAAACGAGCAAAACTTCCTCACCTGTTCTTAATTAGCGCCATTTCTCCAACATCAACTGTTGGGGGAAGACTCCAACACCCACAATGCCTCACGGCGCTGATGCAGTCATGTGACTGAACCCGTGACAGGGAGCAGGCTCCGACAACAAACATCGTTTTGTTGTTTATCGGACATTTGAACATGAAGAGAAGATAAATACTTTAGAACGGAGCTTCAACATGCACTTTACACACGCGCACTGAGACATTCAACGCTTCCCGGTCGGGTAAAACGCTTCCTGATTAAAACAATGGCGGAAGTGGAGGAGGTAAGCGCAGCATGCTAGCGGTAGCATGCTAGATGTGGATGATTGCTACCCCAATTGCTGCAAAATGAATGAGGATGTTAAGTTGTGAGTTGTGTCAGCCGTGTTGTTGTTTTATTCAGCCTCTTTTCTATCATTTAAACCATTTATATCGCATGAAAAACAGACACTCGCTTGTTATTCTGGCTTTAATTGAAGACAATGTCTGTATTCTCCATAAAAAAATTAAGCAACACTGCCTCATCTTGTCTCCATTTGTTTGGGTTAGAGTTGAATTCAAATGCACCGTCTTCCAAGTGCAACACAACTGTGATGTTTGTTAAAACTTGATTAGTAATGTCAGGTCTTCAATTGTTGAAGTTAATTCGAATATGTGTCTTAATTCAGGGAAGAAAACCAAGTGAGGAGTTCACAGATGAGTCTGAGGTAAGAAATAATTAGTTTGTGCTTCCCTGTCTGTGTCCTGCCAAAATGAGAGTTCTTCTGGAGTCATAAAATATTGCAGTTGTAATGTCATGCAGTTGCACCAGTATGTCGATGTAAAAATGCATCAACGGCAACATATTCTCGATGTCAGGGGGTGTGAATAGTTCTGTCAAGCATGGATGATGTTTGAACTCAAATAAAGCCCACTGCCTGCTGAAAGGCCTGTAATACATAGCCAGCTTTTATCAACCCAGCTGGATCCCGCAAGGATTTTTGTCAGTTTTTGAGAGGTGTCAAACACTCATAAATTACAGATAGCCCCCCAGATCCATCAATATTATGACTGAGCTTTGGAATGTTTCAGTACGCTGGCGCTTCTGAGATCCACAAGTAGGCTAAATAAAATATAGCTTTACACATCAGCCTGGCAGGAAGGGGAGTTTGTCTTTATAGGAAGCAGAAAGTAGAATGAAATATCAGGGACAGGCTGCATCGGACGCTTGCACCGCACCAAACAAAACAGTTAAGAGTGAGCAAAAAATAAATAAAAATCCAGGCCTGTAAATAAAAAGATAGTCTACATCCTTTTTTCTGTCTGTGCACAATGTGTTCGGTTCTGAAGGACACAAACACTCCCAGAGAAACAAGCACCAGGGATTTTGGGATTGTGTTTGTCCTCTGAGTGGCTGCAAGCAGAGGAATATATACTCAGAATACTGCAGTGTACTGTCGTGTTATACTGTCTTTTACCTGGTGTGTCTTACTGGATGGAAACAGTGATGATCCCTGTCACTACACCCTGCTGCTCATAGGAGAAATGAGCAGTATGATGATTTGTCACATTTTTGCAAGAAGCCCAGTGTTTAGTTTTTTTGCTTTGTTGTATTTCAATGCCTAATCTTTGAACCACTGAACCCCATAGGGTTTGACTTTGGAGTACAGTGAATCAAACTAATGGCAGCAAATGACACATAACCAACTATAGTAACAAGACATATGGCTTCTTTTCTTTCTCACTTTAACACTGATACAAAATAATGATTTACATGAGGAAATAATAGAGTTGGGAGAGTAAATGTAAGTCTCTAAATAGTGGGCTCTGTTTATTTGTGTGTATTTGAAAGCAGAATGTTATCCTTGAAGTTGATAGATGACTTTGTTCAGCTTTTCATATCATAAATGCCAATAGGCAAAGAATATGGCAAATATGGTTACAACACAAAGTCCAGCTCAGTAGTTGACAAAACAAAAGACAGAGCTACAAGAGATGGCAAAAGTTTGAAAATTGGTAGTTTCTCTCAGGGGATGAAGTTTGTCTTTGTTGTTTGATACGCCTTTGAAACCCGTGACAATGCCCTCGCATCAGAAATCTCACAACCAGAATACACAGGAAATAGCCTAGATATAGCGTTGTTGAGTGGGAAAGGATTGTTTTTGAAAATAACATTTTTTCCACGCTATTGTCCCCCCACCTCTAACCCAGTAGCACATAATGGCAGACAATGTTTTGAGTTGATGCACCCTCCGGGCAGCCACAGACTGTGCAGCATTGGTTATAAACTGAATTATGAGTAATATTCAGGCTGTGACTGGCCGCAAATGCTGGCTCACACTGGAAACAGTGGAGAGAAGCTTAAGTTTGTTTTATCAGAAGACCAGATTCTTGTATTTCACTGGCGATGAAATGTTTCATGAAAAGATGAAAATTACTTTGTGCTGCATTCCACACAGGGTGATGGAAATGCGTCTTTGTGCATAAACACACATTCGATTTCTTTGAAGAGGTCAGCATACATGTAGGATTGATCTTTCTGGGTGTAGAATCTTTTGTCACGGAGGCTGCAGCACTGATCGTGGACATTATGGATGTATAAGCAAAGTGTGTGTGTGTGCGTGCATGCGTGTGTGCTCTTCTTTTGTGGGGAACATAACTTTCCTATGCTGTTTTGACTATTTTGCTTCATCATATAAACATGTTTGTTTTAGTGATGGAGTTTCAGTTGGCCTGGTTGATTTATTGTTTTTGCAGATATGAAATACAAAATAAACAACATAGAAAACAATGTGCATTTGTTTATTTTTGACAAAAAATTATATTGTATGTTTTGTTGTATTTGTATTTATTTATGGTTATTTATTGAAATGTTTATGGTTCGAAATCATATGCAGAGCTGATTATCAGTATTTACGATATGAATTGTTTATGTGCATGTTTACTTTACGGCAGTCTCTGTCCTCACTACTGCCACCAACTGTCAGTCTGTGGAATGGCATGCAACCAGTGATGAATAATTAAACTTAACATGGACCCACATCACTCTATCGCATCACCAGCTGCCAAAAGCTCCTCAGGATAACTTTAAAAGTTCAATAGAAAACATATGAAGTCATGTCCCCTCCGTCACAGAGCTCAGGATTTAAATGACTTGAAGTCGGCATTTTTTCTCTTTCAGGGGGGTTTTGTATGTGACTTTCAAAAAGCATTGTGAGCCGTAACCTTTGAGAGAGGACACTGTTGGTGTTATAATGAATACCTTTAAGAAAATGACAGTGAGAGCCCATCTGAGGAGTCTGCTTTTTCAAATAGGAGGAGGACAGCGAGGAGGAGCCCAAGCTGAAGTATGAGAGGCTCTCCAATGGGGTGACCGAGATCCTCCAAAAGGATGCAGCCAGCTGTATGACCGTCCACGACAAGGTAGGGGTTACAATTCACCACCCACAAGGTCATTTCAGTTTCAAGTCCAACCATTTAAGAGGAAATTCGTTGTTTATGTGCACATTTGAGAGATGTCCTCTTCACAGTTGGTTTCCATCCCCTCTGTTGAATCTGTGAAGGCAGCCCATTCTTTTCTCACCTCCCCAGTCTTTCCTCTCAGGGAGGTACATCAAAACACACCAGGCACCCTTGTCTTTTCTTCTTTTTATTCCCACTGTTGAACGCTGATATTTTTAAGAGGGCCACTCTGAGCGAGATGGTTAATCGTCGTGGCACCGGCAGCACACATGCACGTCTGAGCAGTGCAACAGTCATACACAGTTATGTCTCCTCCTCACCTGATGTTTTATTAACCAATATTGATTTTCATTCATTTATTTTTACTTTGAGGATTTGGTCCGCCCTGTTTTTTTTCCTCTGTTTTATAACCTCAAAACAGCAACTGTGCCACAGTGAGAGAGATTGCTTTGCTGAGAGTCTAAATGTGATCTGACTGTCTTTCTTCCTGGGATTTCTGCGCTTGTGTACCCTCTGTCGTCCCGCTACCTGTGTGGTCACACCAGCCCCCGCCAACCCCGGCAAACTCCGCACATCCTTTAAGCCACCGACAGCGCAGATTGCCTTATGTTGCCTCATATTTTCAGTGTCTGAATCGGAATTTCATTTGAACAATTCCATTCTGATAAATCCCTTTAAAAGTCGCTCCGCCTCACAAGGTTGAACCCTTTATTTATTTATTTTTGGTTATTTTATTTGGGGAGATTGCAGGGGCTCTGTCTGACATGCTCAGCTGTGCCTGTAAATATAAGCATTTCATTATAGACTGCACTGAAGCATGGTGGGCTCGCTGCACATCCACATGCTGGTCGAGAAGGGAGGGGGATTAGGAGGAGGGCATTGGGGCAGGGGCTGGGGTGGAAGAACACACACTTAATCTAATGCCAAAAGCCCCCAGTTTCTATAATTTTTTTGTCCCAGTGGACACACACGTACACACACATTTGCACGCACACACTTCTGCTGAAGCACAAAACACAGAAACCAGTTGCTGCTCAGTAGAAATAATAGCACTGTGCCGAGCAGGGAAGTGATTGCATTGCATGAGAAGAAGTCAGATGTACAGTGCATTTATTATGTTTAAGCATTTTAATTTGAAGAAAAAATGCCATTTCACACTGTCTGCTTTAATAAATAGGGCTTTTCCACCCCCTGCAATTTCACAGTTTTGCCTCCAAGCCCTCCCAATCCCCACTCGGCTCATGTCGCTCCAGCTCCAGCAAATATTTTTTATCCTCCTCCGCAGCCTTCATCAGCTCAAGATTTCTCCCAAATCTTGAATTGGTTTCAAGTGTCTTCAGCTTTGATTTACATTATATTTATCCCTTTCCAGTTTCTTGCCCTCGGTACACATTTTGGAAAGGTCTTCCTGCTGGACATCCAAGGAAATGTAACTCAGAAGTTTGAAATTGTGAGTATGGTGACATTCTTTAAAAATTAAAAAAAATTTCTTGCATATCTGATTTTGTGCTTACGTGCCACCCTCTTACTTTTACATACCTATCTAAATTCAGTAATCATTGGCTAAAAACGAGGGAGAAGTTTTACTGTACCTACACTCGTGCTTCTAACTGTAATGTTCCTGCTGAACACATTGATTGTAAGT